ACTCGGATAGCTGGCTTTGTGATACCCTGGATGTTATCACGCAGCACTTTGCGATGACGCTTGGCGCCACCTTTTCCCAAGCCTTTGCCTCCTTTACCGCGACCAGTCATTTTCACTCTTTTATTTTAACACTTCGAAAGTCACCACTGAACTAATGTAGAAACGCCGTCGCCGCTTCTATTTATACCAAAACTCAGCATTGCACGAGTGAGCCCGAACGATTGGCCATCTCGCTCTGTGCTCGAAAAATGAGATGGCATCTGCTGCGGCTCTCTTTCAACCCTCCACGTTTTGCTATATAAGTAGGTAGCAACGGGTTGCTCGTTTATTGTGTTTTCAGACTCGTGAAGTGAACAGTGACAAGAAGTAATATCTAAAATGGCTCGTACCAAGCAGACCGCTCGCAAATCTACTGGTGGCAAGGCACCACGCAAACAACTGGCAACCAAGGCCGCTCGCAAGAGTGCTCCAGCCACCGGTGGCGTGAAGAAGCCCCATCGCTATCGCCCAGGAACTGTGGCTCTGCGTGAGATCCGTCGGTACCAGAAGAGTACCGAGCTGCTGATCCGCAAGCTGCCTTTCCAGCGTCTGGTGCGTGAAATCGCTCAGGACTTCAAGACTGACCTGCGATTCCAGAGCTCTGCCGTAATGGCTCTGCAGGAAGCTAGCGAAGCCTATCTGGTTGGTCTCTTTGAAGACACCAACTTGTGTGCCATCCACGCCAAGCGAGTCACAATCATGCCCAAGGACATCCAGCTGGCCCGTCGCATCCGTGGCGAGCGTGCTTAAGTTGCTTTTGACTAGCAGCCAAAGCGGCAATACATTTTGTACAAATCGGTCCTTTTCAGGACCACAAATATCTTTAAAACTGAGACTATAAATTTTCATATCTATAATTATTAACATTTTTTAAATAAAACATTCTCCTTGCGTTTTTCTGGTTAAATTTGTCAGAATGTATACATGGAAAATAAATACGTTCTTTAAATGTGTGTAGAGATACTTTTAGTAGGTATCGGTACAAAATTCGAAATACAAAGATATTTTTAAGTTATGTTAAAGACTTATTTATGAACCATTTGTATGGAAAGGTTTATTCAAACATAATCCAGTATATTTTTTAATGCATAGTTTTTTGAGATCGTAATGAAATGGGAATAAAAATGCTAATACAAGCAATAAGGCAAATATTCTATTAACAAAAATATATGTATATATAAGAGATAAAAAACTTTTTTGATACACCAGATACATTTACGATATTAAAATTACGCTATTAATTAAAAATCTAAAAATTTCATTCTTAAATGTATTTAATTTCGTCTCTCCTTGGGTAATAGACTCGGGTAAACTAATATGAATGTTGTATGGGGGACGTAATAGGGCATTACTAAGAAACGAATCCATAAATTCCCTTCAAAACTTTATTGACTGAAAGAACTTACTTATTTTTTTAATAAAATCAACAAAAATTAATATATTTTAATATATTATATTTTTTAGGTAGTTAAAACCATATCCGATAGTACCAAGAAAGTCGACCATATTTTAATGAGAGGACCAGTTTAAAAGTGGTCGTAAAATACTTTTTGTTGTAAAAATTGCAACTATTTTTATTGTTTCTTCAAGTAAAAGGTTCAAATTTTACGTTTTCTTAAAAATGTTTAGTATCTTTAAAATATTTAATATTTTACATGATTTTTAACGAAATGCTATGCCTACAAATTAAATCTTGAACTTCAGACAGCCATACAAAATGACCCAAAGACTTATTTCACCTTTTAATAAATGTAACTGTTTTATGAAACATTTAAGAACTAAAAATATTTAAAACCTTGTATCATTTAATTACACAACACAGGTAAAAGGAGAAAATGAAATTGCACATCGAGCAAACATTGGGAGCGTAAACGAGCGCTGCCAAACACATAGTTAAAGTGCTCTCCTCCTCGATTCTCAAAAAACTTTCTTAAGCACTTCAGTATGCTGCAATTTCTATACAAACAAAAGTGTTTTTCGTTAGTTTTCGAAAAGAAATAGTGAAGCAAAATGTCGGACTCTGCAGTGGCAACATCCGCGTCCCCAGTGGCTGCCCCACCAGCGCCAGTTGAGAAGAAGGTGGCCGCCAAAAGGCATCTGGATCAGGAGCTACAAAGGCAAAGAAGGCTGCAGTCCGCCATCACATCCGCCAACTCAGCAAATGGTGGACGCTTCCATCAAGAACTTGAAGGAACGTGGGGGCTCATCGCTTCTGGCAATCAAGAAATATATCACTGCCACCTACAAATGCGACGCCCAAAAACTGGCTCCATTCATCAAGAAGTACTTGAAGTCTGCAGTGGCCAATGGAAAGCTGATCCAAACAAAGGGAAAGGGTGCTTCTGGTTCCTTCAAACTGTCAGCCTCTGCCAAAAAGGAGCCCAAGCCAAAGGTTGCGGCTGCTGAGAAGAAGGTCAAAACCAAGAAGGTAGTCACCAAGAAAGCCGGGGCCACCGCAAAGAAAGCTGCCGGTGCTGCTGACAAGAAACCCAAGGCTAAGAAGGCCGTTGCCACCAAGAAGACTGCCGAGAAGAAGAAAACTGAGAAGGCAAAGGCCAAGGATGCTAAGAAAACTGGAGTTGTAAAGGCAAAGCCAGCAGCAGCGAAAGCTAAGCCGGCCGCCGCAAAGCCAAAGGCAGCCAAGGCACCAAAGGCCAAGGCAGCAGCGTCCGCCAAGCCCAAGAAGGCAGTAAAGAAAGCAACTGCTCCAGCTACCGCTAAGAAGCCGAAGGCCAAGACTACGGCGTCCAAGAAGTAAATTAAGATAATCTCTATTATCGCAATTTTAGATTTCGAATTCTGAAATTTGAAATTAATTTAAACAAGCCCTTTTCAGGGCTACAAAATCTTTTAAAGAGACCAAAAATTATCAATGTTTTAAATATGGAGTGTTTAACTGTAGAGTAGATCCGCCTATACCAATTAAATCCTTTTTTAGGATTTGGTAATAGCATATCTCAGTGAAGTAGTCATTTCCGACCCTATAAATTATATATATTCTTGATCAGCATCAACAACTGAATCGATATAGCGTTGGTCGTGAGGAAAAAAAAATATTACTACATTTTGGAACATTTTTAAGGGGTTATATTATTGAAATTGCACATTTATTAACCCTATAAAACCGCAGAACAGCATTTTGTTTTAAAAATTTTACTTTTATTTATATATTAAATAAGAATAGGGCTCTTGAAAATTTCGTTTCTTTGGTAAAACTTGTTGTGGCCCTGAAAAGGGCCTTTTTAATGTTCCTCCGCATCTGCGAGAAAATTTACTTGGAGCTGGTGTACTTGGTGACAGCCTTGGTTCCCTCACTGACGGCGTGCTTAGCCAACTCTCCGGGCAGGAGCAGGCGAACAGCAGTTTGGATTTCCCGACTGGTGATGGTAGAGCGCTTGTTGTAGTGCGCCAGACGAGAAGCCTCGGCAGCAATACGCTCGAAGATGTCATTCACAAAGCTGTTCATGATGCTCATCGCTTTCGAGGAAATGCCAGTGTCGGGATGGACCTGCTTCAGGACCTTGTAAATGTAGATAGCATAGCTCTCCTTCCTCTTCCGCTTCTTCTTCTTGTCGTTCTTGGTGATGTTCTTCTGGGCCTTGCCAGCCTTCTTGGCTGCCTTTCCACTAGTTTTCGGCGGCATTATTTCACTTCACTTCACTGCACGATTCACTGATCATGGCAGTTCAGTTTTGGTGTTCGCTCTTATACTTTTATCAAGCAATGTTTTCAGGTCTGTGGCGACCCACCCTTACTGAACGCACAGGCAGAGTCAAAAGTATAAATTCGTGAACATCGACCCTTCGAGCTACATTCGTTCTTCGTGTGTGTGAAGTGAATAAAGTGAAATAAGAGAAAATGTCTGGTCGTGGAAAAGGTGGCAAGTGAAGGGAAAGGCAAAGTCCCGCTCCAACCGTGCCGGACTTCAGTTCCCTGTCGGCCGCATTCATCGTCTGCTCCGCAAGGGCAACTACGCCGAGCGCGTTTGTGCCGGCGCTCCAGTTTACCTGGCTGCCGTTATGGAATATCTGGCCGCTGAGGTTCTCGAGTTGGCTGGCAATGCTGCTCGTGACAACAAGAAGACTAGGATCATCCCGCGTCATCTGCAGCTGGCCATCCGCAACGACGAAGAGTTGAACAAGCTGCTCTCTGGCGTCACCATTGCCCAGGGAGGTGTCTTGCCCAACATCCAGGCTGTCCTGTTGCCCAAGAAGACCGAGAAGAAGGCTTAAGCGTTTTAACAGCGTGCCAAGTCAAACTTGTACATAGAAACACAAACTCAAACCCAAACGTCCTTTTCAGGACGACCAAACCATTTCAAAAGAAACTACAATTTTCAATATGCTTAAGTTTAAAATAATTAATTCATAAACTATTAAATACATTTTTATAGTTAAAGTAGGTGTCGGTATTAGAGGTGAGAACTATCGATAGTCGTCGCCATCGATAGTGAGCGATTATTTTCTCAACCATCGATAGTGTCGATAGTATATCGGTAGTGTTATGCTTTTTATTTTTAGATGTAATTAAAATTCAAAATTATATTTAGCTCCTAAAATAAAAAATTAATTAATTTATTTTTTTTTGATTAGGATTGTATAAAGTACATGTCGAACTGTATCGAGCGAAAAATGTACAAAACTATTTTTTTAAAAGAGCATTAAATTATTTCAGCTATATTAGCTTTTCCTATATTTGCGTTTTTTTTTTTTTTTTTGTGAGGATGGCTACAGTCGGTCCAGTGCGGTATAGCGCAAAAATCGAAGGTAAGTGCATCGATAGTTCTCATAGTCGTAAAAGTGTAAACTAAATGGAGCAAAAATCAGAAGTACGTCAGGGACAATTCCGGTGACAAACATTAGCATTAATTTTCTTGAAAATGTTGGGTACAGTTTGCATCTTAAAAACCGGGAATTCATTCCCATCGGGACTGTTTGAGCTACCTACGGCATGATTGCCTACCTACGAAAAGCCCGACCAATTAAAATGTATTAGGCGTTATTATTCGTCTGGAATAAATATGAAATATAGCAATGAAATTTGATTGATAATTTTTCTCTTTTATGAAATTAAATGGTGGTCCTGAAAAGGACCGATTGTTGAGTACAGACTGTACTGATTTTTAACCGCCGAAACCGTACAGGGTGCGGCCTTGCCTCTTCAGGGCGTACACGACGTCCATGGCTGTGACTGTCTTCCTCTTGGCGTGTTCAGTGTAGGTGACGGCATCACGGATCACGTTCTCCAGAAACACCTTCAGAACACCACGGGTTTCCTCGTAAATGAGTCCAGAGATACGCTTCACGCCGCCACGCCGAGCCAGACGTCGGATAGCTGGCTTTGTGATACCCTGGATGTTATCACGCAGCACTTTGCGATGACGCTTGGCGCCACCTTTTCCCAAGCCTTTGCCTCCTTTACCGCGACCAGTCATTTTTCACTCTTTTATTTTAACACTTCGAAAGTCACCACTGAACTAATGTAGAAACGCCGTCGCCGCTTCTATTTATACCAAAACACGCCAAGCGAGTCACAATCATGCCCAAGGACATCCAGCTGGCCCGTCGCATCCGTGGCGAGCGTGCTTAAGTTGCTTTTGACTAGCAGCCAAAGCGGCAATACATTTTGTACAAATCGGTCCTTTCAGGACCACAAATATCTTTAAAACTGAGACTATAAATTTTCATATCTATAATTATTAACATTTTTTAAATAAAACATTCTCCTTGCGTTTTTCTGGTTAAATTTGTCAGAATGTATACATGGAAAATAAATACGTTCTTTAAATGTGTGTAGTGAGATACTTTTA